CTCGCTTCATCTGGAACTATCTAGTGATAGCAGCCCTTTGTCACTGAGCAGTAAGTCCTGACCCTGAGCCAGTTCCGGCCAACTCAGACCCAAGAGTAATGTCATAAGGTTACTGAGAAAGTAAATTGTATGCTTTACTTTAATTTTGTATTTTGTGTTCCTGCTTATGTGGGGTGTAGCACTTTTTACCTGTATTATTGTTTTGATAGTGAGTATATTGACACAGCAGTATTGCACTCATGCAGCTGTAGCTGTGTAAATTCTTTTATCTTGCACATTTCCATTTCCATGTCATTTGACATGCAAGGATTTGTTTGTTTGTTTATTTCTGTTTCAAAAAGAGACCCAACAGGAGAACAACTTTCTGAAGGGGCGTTAGGGGCTGATTAAACCCACCTGTCCAGTGAGCCATCTGGCAGTTTGCACTGGCCTCCAGCAGAGCAGCGGCCCACACAGACGCTCACGGCGTCGCATCCTGTGGAAGCGGATCCCCCAGGCGCGTGGATCAGCACCAAAGGGAGGGAGGAGAGAGGCAGGAAATTACCCGGCCATTAGGACCCCCGTGTGAAGCTTGAATAGTACATCCACAGACACCCCATTTACACAGAAGGTCCTCCTTCTCACACCGGGCATTGAAGTGATGTTTGTTAACAGGCTCTCCAGAGATCTGCTTTCATCTGAAGAGGGTAGTGGGAATTCTGGTGGGTGCTGGGTGTTTGGAGGATGTCCCAGCTTCTTGGCTCCAGGTCCAAAGGAGGAGGCTGAAGGGGCACGGGACTCTGAGCACTGAATGGGTGACAGGCGGGGCCCAGAGGAAGAAACCAGGCTGGATCCCCTGGGCTCATTGTCCTGTGTCCATGAATCTGAAAGAGCTGTGACAGCTAGCCCCCCCCCCCCCCAAAAAAAAAAACACATAAAAATGAGCCTTATTAGCAGGGTCAACTCGGATATTAGGTTCACATAACATTCAGTTTTTTTTTTATCTTTTATTTCCACATTAAATTGGGTTTACACATTGAGTTTTCTGTTTTTATATTATTCTGGCATTCTGCAGGCTCCGCCGTCTCTGCGCTGTGCTGTGTAATCATGTGCAGCAGGGTGTTTCCATGTGCAGTGCTGTGCAGTGGTGTGTAGCCATGTGCAGTGCTGTGCAGTGGTGTGTAGCCATGTGAGATGAATCGCAATCCATTTTCGCTTTCAGGGCCATGATCGCTAACTCTGTATTGTATGAAGATTTATGTGTGACTTTTTTCTGATATTCTGCCAGATGCAGATTTTTATGTGGTTAATTCATTGCATAGATCCATCCTTTCATCCTACAGCTTATCCAATATCCATCCAAGGGTCATGCGGGGCCTGGCGCTCATTTCAGGAAGGAGAGGGCACTGCAACACCCTTGAAGGGATGCCTGGCCATCACAGGGCACATACACACACAGTCACACACTACGGGCAGTTCTGAGATGCGAATTTATGAACTACTGGACAGTGGAAGTTATCCAGAATATCTGGTTGAAACCCTCCACAACATGCGGAGGAGCTGCAAGCTGCAAGCTGCACATACGTAGATCAGGGGCAGAATTCATGCTCACCACTGAGCCACTGGGTCACCTGTAACTGAATATGGGCCATTTCCTGCTCATTGTAATCATATGAAATCTGTCTTGCAGTCTCTTCATGACAGACATATTCTGTGTATTTGACACTTTATCCTGTGAGTCTGAGTCATCTTGCCCAGACAAGTCTTGAGGAAACATAAGATTCTGAGATATTGGCAACAGACCAGTAACAATTCACAGAATAGGGGTTGAGAACCTATCATCAAACCTGTTTCTTAGGATGTTAAATAATAGCGTATTTTAATTGGGATGTAGTTAAATAAAGCCAGCATTTAACTGCTATTGTTTGAATGCTCTCATAAGGTTAAAGTTTCAAAGGAATCTCAGTGTTCAGTCCAATACAGTAAATTGTACATTAGAATGAATTTTTTTGACAAAATTTGAATGGCAGTTGTTATTTTTTTTATTAAGGTTTGAAATATTTTGTCATTGACTGAGACAGGCTGAAGCCCCCCCCCCCCACGTCCTAATTCAGTGTTTCTGAACCTAATCCTCAGCAACCCCCAGACGGCCCCCAGTTTCTGCTCCCTCCCAGTTCCCTGCCAGACAGTACAGATTTTCAGGGAGCTGGGAAGGAGCAAAAATGTGGACTGTCTGTGGGTCCCCGAGGGAGCGGAATTAGAAACACTGCCCTAATTACAGGCCTGTGCTCCTGTGCTCTGCTGTGGCGTTTCCCAGTGCTAATGGACCGAGCCTGCTCGGCTTAACGCCCAGGACCCCAGTTGAGCCCAGCCTCGTCAACCAATTCACTTGCTCTCCAGAGCCAGAGCTGGCTGTCAGAATCTCACCATGACAACTGGGAGATTTTCTCTGATGTCTCACTGCCCCCCAGGCTGCTCTCCTGTGTTCCCACCAAACAAACAAGCGCTGTCCCACTGCCCAGACTTGAGAGGAAGCTCTGTTCATTACAAGAGCTAAGTGGGGCAGTCGAGCTGTGTGAGTAGCGCCTGCTAATGTGGGAGACACACACACATGTACGGTCAGACTCATACACATTAACTCACACACACAGACACAGAGACATGTTCACAAGGACCAGGTGCCGCTACACACACTGTTACTGTTACTGTGATGTAGTCAGCCACATTTTCAATAAGAGAGGCGCCATGATTCAGATCCAGGACTGAAAGTCTGACATGGTCTCCTTCATTGTCATTTCACATACGTAGCCGACACTCAGCCCCAAAACAGAGCTTCTCTTTGTCTCCTGACTCCGGAGGGGAGGGAGTCTTGTCTTGCACCCCAGTTGAGACTGATAGATACCTCTAGCGCATCTTAAAACTTAAACAACCCAGTTAAAGAAAGCCATATTTTTTCCAGCGTCTATGGCAACGCAACAGTGAATCTAACTACTTACAGTGTCCCACCATTGCTTAAATAATTAATGTGTTGGGGGTCATGTGTTCTTATTGCCCAACAAATTTAACACTCTATTCAGCTCCTGGAGTCTTGAATTAAAAAGGAATCATCAGTTCTATTCACTGCTTGCAGATCACATCTTTAGGTGATGACCTTCACAGATACTGTAGTATTAATGTCTTTGAATAGGGGTTCCCAAAGTTTTGATTTTTTTTTTGGACTTATATACACCATTAAAAAAAATCACTATGCCAGTGGATTGAGCAGTGACTTCATAAGTTTAACTGCTTCCATTTATTTATTTGTGAACAGAATGTGCAAACATGAGGGGTCATAAAAAATGTCAAATATATAATTTATTTTTGGAAATTTACCAGCCCGTCCACAAAACCCCAGTGTTCCATGACCCACTGAGATACTGGCAACAGACCAGTAACAATTCACAGAATAGGGGTTGAGAACCTATCATCAACTTAAAATGTGGTCCTCACTTCACAAAACCTCAGGAGCCCATCTGTTCATTTTTCCAACTGCATCCTGGCGACTGTCATGTGTAAGGCGGTATTGGGCACAAGGCTGGGAGACACTCTGGGTAAGATACCAGTCCATCACAGGTCACATACACGCGCATTCTCAGCCGTCCACTACAGGCAAATAGAGATGCTGGGTAACCTAAGCTCATGTCTTTGGATTGCAGGAGGGAACCTGCAGGATGGGGAGACTCTGCAGACTCCACACAGAGAGTGGAGCTTGGATTTGAACCCTGTGAGGATAGCTACCATGTCACCTTTTCCTGTAACCATGCTTATTGTGATTAGTAAATTATTTAAGAAATAATGCAGTTTAATACTGGGATTAATGTGAGGGTTGCTTTTGTACCTCTTGACTGGTTTTAGTCTACAGTACTGTGCAAAAGTCGTAGGCAGTCAAAGAAAAAGATGTTTAAATTATCTTCATGTTGGTGTAAAACTATGATATTATACCAGTCAAAGCATGTCAGCTTAGCCATTTCAAAACCTCTCCAAAGTCACCCGAGCACACTGTCAGAAAATAAGAGTATTAATTTGTACCTTTGCTTGTCACCGGGGCTGTACCCTCAAGGGTCTGCCAACTGTACCCTAGCTGTAGGTAAATGTACCTTTTAGTCTAATTTAAGGTGCAGAAGTGCACAATGAGGAACATCCCTAAGGTACAAACAACATTATTGTAACCCCAATGGTACAAGAATGTTCCTCATAGGCCATTTATGTACCTTAAATGGTACAACTAGCTACAGCTATAGAGTACAACTAGCAGACCGTAAGTGTTTCAGCAGTGAGGTAGCGGCGTACGTGGCACAAAGTGTGCATGTCATGACTCAAGTCATCCCTGGATCTCGCAATTCTGTTTTTGTGGATGTGCCTTCCCTGCTACAGCCCCCGGCTCAGCTGGGGGGAGGTGTCTGACACTGTAGTGCAGGAGACCACGTCTGAGGGAGTGTGGGGGGAGCGCGCTATCCCTTTCAGCACTCCGGCTCTATTTGTTCGGCTTTTTTTTCTCTCTCTCCACATGTTTGCTCTTCAGACCTTAAACACAACAGGTGCGTCCAAGTCTGAAGAACAAAAGTCTAGTCGTCATGGAGACAAGTCAGGAAGAAAGTGTCGGTTGTTAAGCTCTCACTTGGCCGTTCTGAATTAAACTTGGATTCTGGGACTGTAGCTGGGCAACTGTGGCTGTCACATGGCATTGATATTCAGAAAGGGATTCCAACTGGGGATAGGGGAACAATGGCATCCTTATAAAACATCTCTCCCTCATTATGGGGCCATGATTGGTGTAAGCACTGATCCTAGACCAGGGCATGCTCTGTCTCCATGAACCAACCGGACATAACAACCCCACAGAATTCGTTCAGTCCGTAGTCTCTGAGTTGAATGTAAATGACGCTGTTCTCCAAGACCTCTTTATTGAATGAGTCCTGCAAGAGTAGAACCTAAACTCCATTATACACATCGATATGTCCACAAGGAAACAAGACTTCATAAGCATTTACTATTCTAAATAGTTTATTTGAAAAATGAAGGGTAATAAAGTAAAACTGTAATTACAGTGGCTGTGTTTTACGTCACAACACAGCTTGTATACTTTCAGGACATACCTCTACCATATGTCTACAGCATGTTAAATCTGTAAAGTATATACACAATTTTCAGATTTTTTTGTTCTGTAGCGGGACTTTACAAAAGTCACCAACCGTCTTCATTTTGTGTCTTTCTTAACAATGTTTCTGCATTTGGACCTGTTAGGACCTATTTTCGGTTACTCTAACACATGCCCCTAATGACAGAGCGTTTCGCTAAAGGGACGGCTTCGAACTCGCACATTCGGTGGACTGTTAAAGGCAATTTCAGTGCAGCAACATCAGGTTATACAGCACGCCCCCCATCAAAGGACTGGAAGTGTGGCACACAGTGTCCCATGTCACCTGGCCCTATTATTTTGGCCAAGAAGTCCCAGCAATAGCATATAAATGCATTTATATTCTTTAAGCACTGTGGTTGGTAGCTGGTGACGAGACCTTCAGACTCCACCTGATTCCACAGATGGGTCAGGCGTTAGGGGACACTATATACAGGACTTTAAAAGGGGCTAGCACCTTGTCACAAACTGAAACACACAGCCAACACACAGTAAATGGTGCACCCGTTGTAGTAGTCAGTCCATCCTGGGATCTTGTATAGACCTGAAACACTAATGTATGCTGCACATTCAATGCACATTCAGCCCATGTTTGGGCTGGGAGCTGCACAGCTAGCAGGACAGTCAGGGATCAAAGAGTGATCAAAAGCATTTTCCATGCTGATTGTTATGATACAGTGTTAGTGGTCATTGTCATTTAACAGCTATGTTAAGAGGAGGCTGCTTTAGCACTGCATTATTAATTATATAACATAATTACATTATGAATTAGAGGGCAGGAAGGAGGCTTCCCATATTCTGCATGAGCCTTTAGGCATTCTGATACACTGATATTTCCTGTCTGTCTGGGCTCTGGCCTGGGGGCTGGCGGGGGGCATTGTGGGTCAGAGTAAATGGGAAGGTTCAAGGAGGGCTGCTTCAGCAAGTTGTCCCAATGGCCAGGATGGAGGAGCTGTCCTTGGCCTTGTCGTAGAAGATGGAGGGGGCTACTTCGACCTTGAGCTTGGAATCCCCAGCGGGGCTGCTGGGGCCGGAGGAGCTGGGGGTGGGGGTGCCGTCTGGCAGGCAGTCCTCGCAGCAGCAGCAGCAGCAGTCCATGAAGGCCTGGCCCAGGGAGCGGCACAGGCACAGCAAGAGTACGGGTGTCACCGAGGAGCGGAAGAACAGGAAGAACTGGTTGATGAGGCTGAGAAGGGCTTGGGTGGAGGCCGACACCTGCGTCGTGGAGTAAGCCACAGCCAGGTTGCATACGTTCTCGGGCAGCGTGCAGATGCCGTAGACGACCGCCAGCGCCATGACGGTGCAGTTGAGCTGCCGTTCCCTCTGGCTGTGGAGCTGCTGCTTCTGTGGCCCGGAGGACGTGGCGCTGGGCGGGAGCTCGTCCAGCTTGCGGCTGGCACTGCCGGCGATGCGCCGGGTCACCAGCTGGCAGGCAACGGTGAAGAGCACGGGCAAGCAGAAGTAACAGCCAAAGTACCACCACATGCGGGCGTCATGGTAGGTGAGCACCAGAGAGTAGATGGACTCGGGGAGACTCAGCGATGGCTTCATGGAACAAGAGTCCACCAGATCGCCGGTCACCGACGACACGTCCCGGCTTATCTGCCACAACAGCAGCTCAGGCAGGGCCAAGACCATAGACCCTACCCACACCACGGCCAACTTGGCCAAGATAGACTGGCACTGCTCCACCTGCCGCACCTTCGGCTGTGTGCTCGTGGCTGCGTGGAAGCGGTCGATGCCCAGGGCACACAGGCTGAAGGTGGTCACGCCCAGAGAGGTCACCTGAGGGACGCAGAAAGACTCTTCAAACCCACGCTGATAGCAGCGCTTCGACAAACGCAGTGGCTGTCACCAGCGAGTCAAAGTCATCATGTCCTGCTCATCACATCCTTCCAAACACTAGGATAAGCAGCTCATACCAGCTAAGGACAATAGAGCCACAGCCAGACAATAACAGCATAAAGACCCTTTCAGAGTTCAGTCTGGCTCCCTCTAAGAGATGTCACTCAGAGAGTGATTATTCAGTATGATTATGCAGATGGACTAGTACAAACAAGACAAACAGGACAAACACATACAGCTCGAAAACAGATTTAAATAGATATATATTCTGCTTGTCAAAGTCAAATAACAGAAGCCATAATAAATAAACTGTTATGTACAAAAATATAATTCTATATGTATCTATGAGCATTCAGAAATTCTCCTTGGCATCAATAAAATCAATGTGTGTATATATTAGTAGAGCACCAGAAGTAAAACTCACCTCCATGTACGGAACGATCCTACATGAAAAGTCTCCCAGCAGCCGTTTCTTCGTCAATTCGTTAAAAATGACGACGGGCAAGCAGAAGAAAAGCACCATAAAGTCCCAGAAGGCCACACTTGCAAGAATGCAGTTCCACGCGCTTTTCATGTAGTAGTTGTGCCACACGATGCACATCACGGCCAGGTTGCCCACGATGCCCACGGCGAAGACGACGAGGGACAGGAGCATCACCGCATAGGCGCTGTACGAGCTGTCGGTCACCGGATACAAGGGGTTGTGGATGCGAGTTGTGCCTTTCTGCACGGAGCTGTTCCCTGCACTTTCCTCCCAGGGCGAGTTCCTAGTAATCCCGCTGTCGCCTCCGAGGTGCATCGTGGCGTTGGATAGATGCACAGATCTCGGGGTCGTGAAATAATCGTTAGGATCATACGGTCGGGGATACCTGACGCTGAAAGAGGGCTGCTGGTCCCGCTTTTTGCCGCCCCCATCTCTTGCGCCCCGTGGGACTCTCTTGTGGTCAGTATCCGATCTTAAAGCCGAGGGATCGCTTTGCTCCAGACCTTGGTTTCGGATTAAATGAAGCCTACGACTAACACCCTCTTCTCCAGTTGGCAGGACACCTGCAGCCTTGTCCAGCGCAGTTTCCAAAGCAGGTTGTTGCACATCTCGGGGAAGCACATTTCTAGCCTCCAAAAAACCACCTACTGCCAAAATCAGCAGAAGAATATAGGAGGTCATCTTGCGCTGGTTTAGTAAAAGTTGTTAAACCTCTGAACAATAGACTGTTCAACCCAAACGATGTTTTAAACAGTTATACTTTAATACAGAACAAGGGCATCTGCTGATTTAAAGAGCAACTACGATGGAAGAAAACATGAGCGGTTCAGGATACCCTTCTCTCTGCGCCCGACGCCCCTATTCAATAGACACCGCCGCACGGAAAACTGCGCTTCTTTTTCATCCGCTTGGTCACGGCACGGGTGACCGCCCCCCTTCCCCCGAGGAGCAGGGACGCATGTGATTCTCCCCATTTATCCGAAGACGCTATTACATTCATGCCACCTGCTGGTGGTTAAATTTCAACTAAGTCTGAGCAGGCCAAACCGTTTAGTATAAGAAGAAATACTACTTCCTTAAATATTAAAATATAACCTACTAAGTAATATTTAGTGGCGTTTGCAAGCATCAGCACTTAGACATAGAAAACATAATTTGCATAAAAACCACAGTCATTTTCTGCCCCTTATTCATGTTCATCTGATTATGCAGTATGGGACCAGCATGTCGTATTAGATAGGTCAGGATGGAAGCAAGCATTTTAAATTATGTACTCAAAGGGCGCTGTTTTATACATTTTGCAGTTAATATACAAATATTCAGTTTAGTAGTTTTACCCGTGTCCCATATTGTTTTTAAAAGTTTGTCTGGTATTTTCAATTGCGTGTACATGCGATATGCGTGGCGGGGAGTCGCACAGTAATAGTTTTGAGGACGTGGAGTGCCCGATGGCCGGCAGATGGCGACAGCTGTACAGCCGCGTGTCTCCGAGCAGCACACCGTATGCCCGCTGTCCACGCGCACAGGTGAGAATGCGCCTTGCTCCGCCCATGTTTCTTTGTGGGATTTGCGATTAATGACTTAGCCTGTTGACAGCCTACCTCGGATTAAAAGACTGATACGGTGTTTTTAGTGAAGAGATGATACTAATACTCTACCAATTATTTACAGATACCTTCATCCAGTGCAGTAAGGTTAAACAAAGTGTTTAAAGCTTATGGATTTTAATCCTACATTTCTACACCACACTGTCAAGTATCATTGACTTACTTTTGCATATTGTTTTTTTTTTTCTCCTTCTGCAACAGAAGCTGCAAATGATTCAGAATGCACGCGCAGTATGTCCGGTATTCAGTGAGCCTCAATACGGCCATGTCACCCCACGCCTCGTCTCTCTTCATGGACGTAATATAGTTGCTTACATCAAGTTCAAGGCCTCGGTTCTGACTTTCAGAGCCATTAATGGACAGGCGCCCATCTCCATATAGTTAAACTGTGTCCCATCTTGCCTCTTAGGTTAGCAAACCAACAGCACTTGGAGATCCCTCATCATGCAAGAAGTCTCACTCCAGATGTTTCTCATGTTTGGTTTCCTGATGGAGGAATTAGCTGCTGAACCACATCCAGTCCTTAGATTCTCTCTCCATCTTCAAGAAATGCCTCAAGACCAAACTGCTCCTCTAGCCTGACACCACTCCAAGTTCCCCGAATATTACAAATTTTGTTGATTAAAGAGTAGTCGCATTAGTTTCTTGCTTTGTTTTGAAGATGTTGTGCGGCTCTTGCCTCAATACTGCTTACACTTGTACCTGGCCATTCACCGGATGCTCATCCTAGCTGCACTAAGGCCTAGTTGACTTCTAGGCAGCATGTTTGTTTGTAAGGTGCTATTTGCCTCACTTGTATATCACTTTGGACAAAAGCGACTGATAAATTAAATAAATGTAAATGTAATATATGTAAATAAGTGTATATATTACTGCAGTAAACCTTTTTGGCATCGTGGGCATTTCACTTAACTGGATTTTATGTAATAAAATGTCATGTTAACTAGACTAACAAATAAAAACATGTGTTTCTTGCAGTGTAGTGAGTCACTGTGGATTTAAATGTTTGCTAAGATTACCAGATATCCTTCAGAAGAACTGTTTAGTTGTGGTTGTGATAACTGATATGCTGTTATTGCTAAATTGGCATCTTTGAAATGATGGTTTAACTCTTTCGCACCTTAAGCGAGCAGAATAGCCACCCATTTCATACTGAAATGATTTAACTTAATCCAGTGTCCTTGGGAAGTGTGTATAGATCTACAGACTATTGAACCAACCAGGAGATGCCATCTCAGAACTCAGTCAAACCAAACATTTGGTTTACTTTAAAACCTTAAATTCTAAATGCAAACCACTGACATACCCTAGTTAGGTTGTAGTATAGTGTGTTAGGCTGTAGATTGGTAGGATCCATCTCCTGACTTTGTTGATGAGATCCTGCATGATTTCTTTCAAAAGCTATGGATTGTATTTCTCATTCTGTCAGATGGTGTCGCTCACTGGTAAAGGTGTAGGATTAATATTTGCAAAAGGGTAAAAAGTATGCAAAGACCAAAGCAAGACTGTTCAGGTCTTCAAATAATTAAGAATTCTGGCCCAAGACCATGACCCCACATATAATAGATGTTTTCTTATATACTGGATGTGTGTGCAACTCCATTTATATTCCCTGAGCTGTGCAATGTCCAACACCCCCCATACAAGTACCGTAACTAGAGAATCACTGAAGATTGACAGATTTATGCTAAACGTACCCTTTGCATCCTTACTCTATACCTAACACTGCGACCAGTTAACTCGCCACAATATATATTGTTAGCACATTTAAGATTAGTTAAAGGACTGTTGTCATATGTGCAATGTTTCGTCGGAGGTGAAATGGTGTAAAATTTGGGGTCAGTTGCTAATGTCCATGAATATTCTGGGCCAGATTCTTTAGGCAGGCAAGTTCACTACTGATGTTTCAACTAGTATCTATGAAGTTTAAAGAATGCTAAAATGTGCATCTAGCAATCAGTTTTAAAAATGATGCTGTTGCATTCATTTGGTGGTTATTCTTGATGTTATCTATTGAATGTTTGCATTTGTTTCATTATAAGAAATTAATTGCATGAACTATGCTTGTTACGGTATGAAACTGCCAAGTCATTTTGTACTGATTTATAATTGGAATTGTTGTAGTTTCAGTTAGCAAAGACAAAGTTCTTTTGGTAGAGATGGTGCAACAGTCAATGAAAACAGAAGAGGTAGTGTATGTTTTTTCCACTGGATTTCTCTTTTTTTCAGCAACCTCTGGTTTCCTGAATAATTAAAAAATGATGCTTGCCTAAATGTCTTCCTGTAACGTATGCCCATCCCTAGCTTGAACGAATCACAGCCAAATGCAGACAGCAAAGCCCAGACCGGCTGTGGTGCTCTCATGGTGGATACTATAGGCCGCCTATCCCTGAAACGCCCAGTAATACACTTGGTTGCAGGAGGCAACTTGACGGCTCAGTTGTGGTTGCTGATGTGAGCTGCTGCTAAAGAGGGGGTCAGCTGGGGCGGTGGGGGGGGGTAGCCTGGTGCATGTCACCTTTGACAGAATCATAGAAGCAGATGCTGTATTAGTGCTGTATTAATGTATTAATGTCATGACTGTTGTTAAGGGTGGAGGTGAATTGAGCGGGAAAAGGACATGTTTCCCTTCATGAGATATGGTCCAGTGTGAAAAGAGAAGCACATATGTGAACAATGACCTTTGCACGGCTCGCAGGAAGTGCTATATGTATATATATATATCTGTGAAAGGTGTGCATACCAATACCCCTTCATTTAGTGATCTTGTTAGGGGTGGGTTCTTTCATTCTTAAAAGCAAAATTAATATATTGGCCTCATTGAAGTTTCTCAAAGTCTGTTGATAACAGGAAGTTCTGTGTCACCACAACAGGAAGTGGTTTGCTCAAGCCCCCACTTCCAGCTTTGGGCCTGTTGCCAGGGAGATGCCTCCCACGTAGTAACGGCCGGAAGCCCAGCTGACTCGGACCGGGGGCGTGCATCTCTGTCATGTTAATATCTCAACTAAACTTTGCCATTTCTGTGTCCCTTCAGATTCTATGAGACACTGAAGGTGACGCTGCCAGCATTTGATTAGTGACCCCCCCCCCGCCTTCCTGCTCTGCACAAAGCTCAGTGTATGGCAAAACTACTGCATTGTAATCCTACAGAAATGCAGTAACTGGGCTGCATTCCTTCACAGTCTGGTGATCAATTTTAACAGAAGATGACAAATTATATACTGATTTGTGGCATTGGGTTTGGCCATTTAGCATCACATTAAACTTTCATAGTTAAACTGCACTCATTATAATAAAACCCCAAAGGTATCAAACATGTCAGGGAAAATAGTTAACATTTTTCTCTTGCAGCTCACAAAATAAAATTATTCAAATGTAAACTGAGAAGGTGGTTTTTGACCTACGGCTGCTTGCCCCCTCATACATAATGACCCCATACAGCTGTCTTGGACTACGGCCTGTCTCTTTGAGTGTTGTTGTCATGGAAACTGCAGAACAAGGACTTTTAACACGAACAGGAGCAGGACATGACACTGGACTGGACATGAGGTAAGGTGAGGAGCAGGAAAAGGAACGTGAGCAAAAACAAAAAAAAAAAGAATATGAGCAGAAACAAGAGTGGGGTAAAAAAAAACAGGAGCAGAAACAGGAGTGGGAGAAAAGAGGAGCAGAAACAGGACTGGGAGCACAAAAACAGGAGCAGAAAAAGGAGTGGGAGCAAAAAAGAAGAGGAGCAGAAACAGGAGTGGGAGCACAAAAAGAGGACAGGAGCCAAAAAAATAAAATGAATAACGACAAGCAGGAACAAGAGTGGAAATAAGAAAAGAAGCAGAAACAGGAGTAAGAGCAGGAACCTGATTCACAAAACACATACTTTAAAGGTCTTGGAAATCAGTTTATCTTGTTAATTTTAAATGACAGTCCAGTGAGAGTGTGTGTGGGCTAATGGAATGGAAACAGTCAGATATGAGTTAACTGTAAGTGTATGTGTGTGTGTCCACATCTGTATGTGCATGATTAAATATATTAATGTATAAATCTTTCTCTTTTCTAAACAGCTCTGCTTTTCTCTGGACAGCATATAGCCCACAGCAGGATCTTCCTGTAACTCACAGATAAGCAGAAGAATTATGCTCAACACATCTATCCACAGGCAGAAAAACACACATCAGACACACTCAAGGGTTGAGTTATGGTACATTTTTTTTAGTCCACTGCTAAGGTTTTTACAGAAATTAGTGGGCTCACTAAGAAATGGTCCATTCAAAAATATATATATAAAACATTTATTATAAAAAACTTTCACTCAATAACCAATATAAAACTAACTAAATATTCTGCATGGTGTCTAATTATTAATGTGTCTGTGTGACTGATTGGGATAAAATAACTATGTGCAATGTAATTTATCCTGGCACATAAACTATTTTGAGTTTTCACAACATGGTCGAAAGCAGCATTAACATTATTTCTGATCACTCAGGTGGGACAGTCGGTTGTGCTCTGACAAACGTGAGAAGAAGGCGGCTCTGGGACAGGCATCACCCGCTGTGCCGCCGCCTCTCCGGCCTCTCGCACTTCCGCGGAGAAGATCTCCAGGCATGAGTCGCACTCACGTTTAGACATGTGCGCAGAGCAGGCAGGCAACAGCACACTCACTTCCTTGCCTCGCAGACGCGGCGCGTCAAAAATAAAAGTATTCGATGCGTGTTGGTTCCTGCTCGCCTTCGCTCTCGCTCTTTTAACTACGAGAGTCCGCATTCCTGTCATCCCGTCCCGCTCCGGCTCACCCTGCAGTGCGCGCTTTCTTCTGGGTCCGGACTCGCACAACTCAAGCCCGGATCATACTGTAGGTATGGATTCAGTTCTGGGAAGCGGGTGGCGTGCGTGATACCGCCGCTCAGACTGTACTGCTGTTGCCGGGAGTTATGCTACTCACCAGCTGCTTTACTTTCATTTACCGAGTATTTATATAAATTGAGAAACGAAATGTTGCGTTATTCTGAAACCATGAAGGCACTTCACAGTTACATGCTGCTGAAAGCATTCCTGAGCTGAACGGTTGGCGCCGAGGTAACTTAAGCTTATAGCAGGTTTTATGGGACGGCAGCTTAAGCGAGCCTGGGTGGACTTCTGATCTCTGGATGGATAGCTGGTGGGTTCACGGCGTGATAAGCGGTCTATCACAGTATGTGTGTGTGATGCATCAGGTTGTCGGCTCGGAAAGGCGGTGTCAAGGTAAGGCCAAGTATTTGTGTTAACAAGTTTTTATTTAGGACAGAAAAATATATCAGTTTTTATTTAGGACAGAAAGTATTATATCAGTTTTTATTTAGGACAGAAAAGTGTATATATATATATATATATATATATATATACTTTTCTGTACTAAATAAAAACTGGAAACACAAATACTTGGCCTTACCTTGACACCGCCTTTCCGAGCCGACAACCTAATATATATATATATGATATATCAAATATCATATATATCAAAATACTTATATTTTTGACAGACAGACACACACTCACACACATACACACACACACACACATACAGAGTCATATTTTTGGGGTAATTCAGAGACACCAATTAGCCACATTAATTTCATTGAACTGTTGGAGGAAACCTATGAAACAGTGAAGGCATGCAAATGTCACTGTAACAGGTGATACTACTACTACTACTACTACTACTACTACTACTACTGCTATTATTATTATTATTATTATTATTATTACTGCTACTATGTTGCAGGCTTGTTCAGGAGAACCTGGACGTGGAAGATGGATTGTTATATATACTTCTTTAGTATTTAGGTGTTGTCTTCAGAAACTTATATAACTTATGGGTAAAGTAATTTTTATAGTTCTACTTTATTGTATTATTGTGTCTTTTTTAAACACGGCCTGCAGCTCCTTTTTCCATAATTTCCTGCTTGGGTTCAATGAATTATTTCTATCACATAAGCTTGAACAGTGTTAATCTATATACTTAAGTAATTTTAACAACTGGCTCTATTAAACACGCATTTGCTTACAATGTGTGACAGACTTCATCGAGCATTGAAACTACCATTTACTTAGAGCCAAATGTTTGTATTGTTGTTTGGGCTTCATTCAAGGCAGACTTATGCTTCATTGAATATATCTGACAGACGTGATGTTAGCTGAAGGGCTTCATACTTACTACTGACGGAGCTGACAGCCCACAGCAAGAGCCAGAGGCCGACAGCACCTGGTCTATAGGTGCACACCTTACATTAACCACATACGCCTCATGCTGAGCCAGCTGCTGAATGGCACCCTGAGCCGTGCTTGGTGCACTGAGCAGGGAGTCTGTAGCACGCTATGGGCTGCACACCACAGTAACTTATTAGATGAGTTAAAGAAACTGCAGAGCAGCTATTTAATATTATTCACACTAACTAGCTCCTCTGCTGTGCTTTTCTAGAAGAATGGAGTCATCGTTTCAACCGTTAAACATAAGCACAGATAAAAACATTGTTTCACACGCAGTAAACTAGGTGTGTCTGCTCCTGTACTGATTCAACACATTTAATCACTTCTTTGCCTGCACCCTCTGACTAACACTTCATGCCACAAGGAACTTGAGCTAATCACGAACAGTCAGCTAGTCACGTTTGTCGTTAGCGTTCAACCTGGTCATTTTTAACGGAAACCCAGGGGGACGTGGGCCGGACCTTGGAAGCTCCACAAACATGCATGGATCCTGGGCCAGATTTAAGGTTTGAGGATTCTGGAGGGGTGCGATTGCAGCTCCGCCTACCGCACTACTGTGCCGTTGCTTAATACAGCTACTTAAACATTAAAATCATTTTAGAACAAAACATACTTTCACAAGGGTGGATTTCTTTTCACGCCCATTGCAGAGGAGTAAATGACACGGATATGCTGCTCTTCCCTTCTGTTATTGTTTATGTGCTGGTGGGAAAAACATTTCTGCGATTGAATAGTTTGCCTTTATGCTTGCTGTAGTCGAATAGCAGGATCCTGCTTAAACATCACGAAACACATTCAGCAACCGGGTAAGGATGTATAGTAGAAAGGTCTTTAGTGGTACCCCGTTGAGCACATTAAAGTACAAAAGGCAATGCCCAAGATGAAGGTCCGATAAAAACAAGATTTGCTTTGAGTGCTGGAAAAAAACATGTGTGAAAAATCTAAAATAGTATTGGCTAAAATAAAAATAGTCAATTAATTAGCAAATTAAGTTAGCAAATAATGACTTAATTTCCATTAGTCAGCGTGTTGTAACTGAAATTGCATTCCATAAAATGAAGTTAGTTCACTTGAGGACCTAAATGCTATCATTCATCCTGAACAGAAATTGTGTATATGTCTGCTTCGTGGATTAATTCTTGGATAACAATGTGGTCTATATGCATCTTCCTTCAAGCCTGACTATTTATCAGTATGAGAGCTGTTTCTGACATAATGTCATGTGTATCGTGGTGACCACAAGACGAGTGGGCAGATGGAAAAAGGAGAACGAACTTGAGGAAGAGTAGCTGATACCGTCTGCATGCTTTTGCGCAGCTCTTTGATAGCACATGCAACAGAAACAGTCAAAAGTTAAACAGGGCAAAACAAACAGAAAAACAAGCAAACAAATACATGAATTCTAGAATAATGTAATTGCAATGACAGTGAGCTGTCATTCCTTGTTCCTGTCAGGCCAACAAGTCTTTATATGTATATGATTCTATTTGTGTTTCTGTGACATATAATGTTAAATATTTGCTTTGCAGACAGGTTGATCAAATAGCTGATGAGATAGCTGTCAGCTTAACCTTTTTTTTGTTTTACTAAAAAATTTAAGAATATTCTGAGTCAGTCTCCTTCAGCCTTGTACCCCTTATAGTCAATATAAGTTTTGACATGTAATGGACTACTGACTAGTTAGAATCATACATTTCAACTTATTCACTTATTCATGTTATTAATATAGTAATTAACATAGAATTATCATTTCCCTGTTGGTAGAAAAATGGACAGTCCTTGCGGTTTTGAAGTATGTTCCTAAAGCATTCAGGCTTCCACAGACATGTATAAGTGCAGTTCATATAAAAAAAAAAAAAATCAAATGTTTGGATGTTTATGGGAATGATTTGGATGGGTTTATGAGACCCATGTTAGAGACTGTTAATGTGGGCCTTGTTTTTTATGAACTTGCCGTTATTTCAAGCAGGATAAAGCATTCTCTAATAACTGAAATACAGGTTTTCTTGTATATTTTGTCCAGAATATGCAAAATACTTCTGTTTGCAAAGGCTTCGTGTTTTAGGGCTTTTTCCAGATAAAGCCATAACAAGATGCTAAAACTGTGTCATGCATATGCTGCTCATTGTGATTAGAGCAGGGCCGATGCGAATAATGAAACATAATTAAAGTAGCAGTCTAGAGTGATTTCTCTTTTAGATTTAATGGCCCTCTGCAGCAAATTGTTTAACAATGCATAATATTTAAGCTCTTGCACTCTACAGAATGTTTCAGATACACATACAACTGCTGTGGCAAATGTAGGCTCTAACAACACCCCCCACCACAAAAATGCAAGCCTTCCCACTCAATTATCATTGTAATCAAGTAAAGAATCTAAGTAAGGAAGATTACATGCGTTGAAAGTTCAGAGAAAAAGACAGCAATTACCTTCTTTGTCCATAATGTTTATAAGACAGACAAATAGCTATAGATTTAATTTGTCATGTAATAGATCATTTATTTTATACTGTTATCAGCTGAAATTAAATTGAAAATAGCAAAACTGGCAAAATCAGGGTCAGCTATTAATTATCAGATTATGACTGTGGATTTGAATCGGTCCACCCTTTGGAAGTTTTTTCCATTGGTCACTTTCTTTTTAAATCATTTATTCATCTTCCACCTCATTCCTATATTCACCTCCTTCAGTCAGAGGCCATGTGGTATACCTGAGCTTCTTTTCTCTCTCAGTTTCTTTACTTTTCACATGTTCCCCCTAACAGTGACATGGACCAGACTGAAGAGCCCCCTCTTTGCAATGACATGGACCCACCCAAACAGCCTCCTTCTCACAATGATGTAAACAAACCCAAGGAATCCTCTCACTGTGATGTCGATAAGCTCAGGTGTCATCCCTCTTCTAGTAACACGAAGCAGCCCAGGGATGTGGTATCTCTCAGTGCGATGGAGCTGCCCAGTGATCACCTGTATCCTAGGAGTGTGGACCAAAGTAGGGATTTCCCTTCTTCTTGTGAAATGGACCAGCCCGGCAACTCCCCTGTACTGAGTGACATGGGAACGTCCACGAATCCCACCTCTCCCAATGATGCTAATAGCAATACGGTACCCCCCAGTGACATGGACCAGACTATGAATTTCCCAACTGCACAGAAATACCCTCTTCCTACAGTTGGCAGTCGTAAACAGGCCCGCCTTCAGGAGAGGTACGGATGAAGAAGGTTTACATAAGATCAGTCATGCTGGTCTTCACAATGCCATCCAGTGGACACCTGCAGCCTGTTGATATTTGAGCCACACTGTGTTTGCAGGCGGGGCTCCAATGTGTCACTGGTCCTGGATGTGAGTACTTTGGGCATGGTGGAGCCACTGTGTACTATCTCCACTCCACGCGACACCATCCTGCAGCTGCTCAGAACCAGTAAACGTCCCCTAGATGCTTCACAGCTACAAGAGGTCTCCAGGCAAACGCATATATTGGACCTGGAGTACCAGGTAACCACCACTATGAAATATCATCTGGACAATAGGAGATAGCATTGCTGATGATATGCAAGTCATTCTCTCAAGTGCACATAGACAAGAACAAATTCATTTCTTTTTGTTTTTCTTCTCTATATAGCAAATACCCCCAAACTTTGTAAATGCACCAGAGCTGAATGTTCCAGGACATGCCTTAAAGGACCGATACAAGACCATACTACCAAGTGAGTGAAGAAAATGTGTTTCTCAGTTATTAGTCTGATGCATGACTGATGGAACATTTTCACTTTTCTTGTAATCAGATCCTGAGACCCGTGTGCTGCTGAAGGGGAGCATCACGGAAGAGGAGGACAACAGCTATATCAACGCAAACTGCATCCAGGTTAGATGGGGGTCATAAACTACATCCAGGTTAGATGGGGGCCATAAACTACATCCAGGTTAGATGGGGGCCATAAACTACATCCAGGTTAGATGGGGGTC